AAAAAAAAAAAAAAAAAAAAGAAGATATATATGCACGTACAAAGATCAATGAATATATAAACAGAGGTGTACTTTTCACAGGTACGTAATTTAAGCACGCATGCAGTCCCACTTGCATACATCTCTTTGGTAATCACGTGGCGGCATGTAAAGTTCGAGACACGCAGCGGGGGGAGGGAGAAAGAGAGAGAGTCCCGCACAGGTAGTTAGACACGCAACTGCGCAGGGAGAGTTTTGTGTATGTGTACGTCAACAAAATGGGGAAACGAGGAATTGAACATATGGAAGGGAGGGGAAAAAAAAAAAAAGAAAAGAAAAGAAAAAAAAGGGGGCATGACGGGAGGCAGCTTTAGGGTTTTAACACACATGCGTATAACACGTGCCGACGGTCGGGCGGTCGGACCGTTGGACGCCCACTTGTTCGCGTCTTCAGTCTGACGCTGCAAAGTACACACCCCGCCTCGGCACAGCTAGCTGCTACACTAACATCAGGGCGACTTGTACAAAGAGCTTTCTAGCATGACTGCCTTTAAATATTCAAAAAATTAAAAATGCGTGTTGTGCATACATAGGTGAGAAATTCTGTCGCCTCACAAGCTCGCTCCTCCGACTCAGCTCTGATCGGTTCACCTCTTCTCTTCATTTGGCTTTTTCTGATGTTTTTTTTTTTTTTTTTTTTTTTTTTTTTTTTTTCTTCTTTTTTGGCATTATCTTCAAAATAGACGAAGGGTCTCCCACGAAATGTGCCTTCGCGACATCCTCCCCAGTGGACATTCGCAAAGGGGGCTCAGCCACCTCTCGCATGCACATAGAGGACGCAAAAACAGAAGAGTCTATCCCCTTTGGTCATATTAAAAAAAAAAAAAAAAAAAAAAAAAAAAAACTAAAAAGCTTGTACACTACTCCACCGGTTTCTTCACTTCGAATTATTCAAATGGGTGGTGAGCCAATCGAATCCCTCGTAGAGCCCGTCACCCCTCGTTGCGCACGTGGATTGAATGAACCTGCAACGGAAAAAAAAAAAAAAAAAGGATACACAGGTCAGCAATGCGTAGGTCTGTTGTAGGGTCCGTTTGGGGTAGCGTTCCGACCGTTTTTCACGCATGGCTGCAAGGCGCACCTACACCCCACACAACCATTACACACACACAGGACGCATCAACCTGTTCACGTACCAGTTCCTCTCCCTTATCGTATTGAGGTGCAGCTTTTCCGTCACTTCCGCCGCAGACATGGCGTTAGGTAGATCCTGCTTATTCGCAAACACCAAAATTATGGCATCCTTCAGCTCTTCCTCGTTTATCATTCTGTGCAATTCTTCTCTCGCTGTGGGGGAGGAAAAGGAAAAGAGAGAGTATGGAGGAGGGGATGATGAAGCAACTCCCCCCAAAACAAGGGACTAATACATATTGAAAACCAAGTCTGCTTGGCTCGTCCTGCCCAAACTTACCGTCGTCAATTCTCTCCCGGTCATTGCTGTCCACGACGAAAATTAAACCATCCGTGTTGGAATAGTAATGTCTCCACAAGGGTCTTATCTGTACAGGTAAAAAAAAAGACAATCACACGATAAGCAGGATGGGGACAAACGATTTTAACTTCGTGTATACACATAACACAGTTGTGGTTTTATAGCAGTCTGCACAAACGAGAGGACACAAATCCTAGTCTGCCTCTCTCATGTCACAAAAAAAAGTACCTTATCTTGTCCTCCGACATCCCACACCGTGAAGGAGATGTTACGAAATTCCACCGTCTCGACGTTGAAGCCTGAGTTGAAGGGACGTGGTGATGAAATGGAGTGAATGGGATAAGCGGCATGCACATAAACGGGGACACGTAGAGGTGAGAGAACAGTTAGCCGCAGCAACCGTTGCCGCTGCTATATCACTGGAGGGGGGGGCACGCCGTACCTATCGTCGGAATCGTCGTGACGACCTCGCCTAACTTGACTTTGTACAAAATGGTGGTCTTCCCTGCTGCGTCCAACCCCACCATCAAAATTCGAACGTCCTTTTTCTGAAACAGGCGATTAAATAATCTGCTAACAAACAGCCCCATTTTATATCTGCACAGGGGGGGGGAAGAAAGGGGAGCGGGAGGGGGGATGTGAAAGTGAATGGAGATGCACGCGAGAGGTACTTCTCCTTTGCTCACTCGTCGGAAGCAAAACACGCACATGGGAAGATGACGCACATGGGGGAGGGCTAACACAATCCATTGGGACATGCCTCTTTACACCCCTTGCAAATACAAAC